ATTACTTATAATTGTTTTATGAGTTATAAAATTAGAATTTCTGAAAATATTTGCTATATTATATGTATATATAGGAAGAGGAGCGGTGTTTTCATCTTCTTAAAAGAAAAATAATCTTAAGTTTAATAAACTTTTAATAAGCTATTTAAATAGAAATATAACAGAATTTGTTAATGATTCATAATAAATTTAATAAAAAAAAAAAATAATAATAAATTTAATTATATTTATTATTTGTACATGATCACAGTGTTGTAGTTTTAGTTGTTAAATTTTTAATAAAAATTTACAATTTCAATTAACATAGAAAAAAAAAATTTTAGATTTGCGATTTTTTCAAAGGTTATACAGAATCATCTTTTTTCATATAAAACATGAATTCGGTCCACGTACATACATTTAAATACTCTTGTATAACAGTAAGTGAACCTTATCTTAAATAGATAAAAAAAATTTTTTTTTGTTATTTTATTTAAATAATATAAAGTATACGCTCTTATATAAAGCTTATGTAAAAAAACAGTTTGTATTAAGACGGGAAAATAATTTTTAGGTAGGTACTAATGACCTAAAAACATAACACTTTTTTTTTCTTCTACAATTATTATAAAAATTTAACGAAATTATACAGGGTGTTTCGCATAAGAGGGCAAATAATTTCATGGGACAATTTCTAGCAAAAAATTATATGGACGGCGGGTGGCTGCAAATGTACTTGTTTTCGAGCTACAGTCTGTTGAAAACAAATGTACCAGATTTTTTCTGTATAAATAAATAAATGCTTATAACTTCAGAACCATTAGACATGGAGTAACTATCGGAGTCTTGTTTTACAGAAAATTTATTGCTCTTTATTTTCGGTCTTACAATTATTTTAATCTGTGCCATAGTTTTCCAGATAAAGTTGGTCAAAATTAGAATTTTTGTTTTTTTTTTTAATTTTTTGTTTAAAAAATCTAAATTTTTCGAAATTTTGTGTTATTATTGTTTTTCTTTCGATGCACCAAAATGAGATCTAAAACTTAAGCTACACAACATTTGGCTCAATTTATCATAAGTTTTTCCAGTAAAACGTGTTAAATATGTTTAAGAAAATGTGAAACACGCACCCCCCCCCCCCCACACAATTCAATTTTTTACTGGAAATTGATCAGAGAATCATCCCTGAAATTATTTGTCATCTTATGCGAAACGCACCCTGTATATTATCGTGTATGTATTATATATTCACATATATACGCATACTTTCATTATTTTAGTTTATACACATAAATTAACACGCAAAGTTATTTTTCCTTAATATTTTATCCCCTCTAAATTCATATTTAGAGCCAAAAGAAAATTTTTAAGTTCATTGAATTTTTCTATTTTATGAACGAAAATTTAATAATAAAATAAATAATTAGTAAAGGGTCGTTTTTTTCACAGGATCTTTGTTATTGTTTTCCTTTCATAATAATTTCTATATATTTATACACACACATATACAATTTGCACGAAATAAACCATTATTATTTAATCGTTTGTACATAATAGTTGATGAATATAAAATATTAAATAAAATTTAAATGTAAATATCTACATATTACATATGACAAACATCATAACACTCACTACATATATATAATTGGAATAAGTACATTTTTTAATTACAGAAAGGAAAAAATTGTTTGGTCGTTTAAAAACACCTACTTGAATTATAGGGTTTGAAAATTTTATGTTTTAAATGTCATATAATAATAAATGTGAGTAGAAAAATGTTATGCAATGTTATTTGTTTAACATTTTCATGTTAAAAGAAAATTAATTAAAATATAAAATGGAAGATATTGTACAGATAGTTATGTAGGTAATTGTGTTAAAAGGAAACGATTTTGAAAATTTTTGCAAATTAAAATTAAAAATTTAAACTTTTAAATTTGAAATGAAATTTTTAATTTATATTCTAGTTTAAAGGTAATTTTTTCAGATTTTAAATAAATTTTTTACACAATTCGAATTCCGTAAAGTTCACCAACTGTTCTTATGTTAATTGCCGAGAAATTGGGGTATTTAACTCTCAAATTCGCATTTAAAAGTTGGAATGTTTTCCTTTCAATAATAGCCCCTTAAGGAGATTCTAATTCTATTTAATTTTAAAGTATATTGGCTACCTCAATTTTCCAATTTTCATGAGTCAGATGCCCAATCTCAAATTTCCAGTTTTCAGAGACTAGTACGAAAATGGCTATTGCAGAATTGAGTCCCATTCAATTTCTGCACTTTAAATTTACGCAAATTCTAAGGAAAATCGAAATTTTTTTATTAAAAATCAATCAAAATTATAGAAAAACAAGAATTTTTTTTCAAGATTTTTTTGAAAATTTTAATTTATATTCTTCCGTATTTTAGAGACCAGTTGGTCACTTTCTATACACAATATTGAAAAAACAGAAAAACTTACAATAAAATTAATGGTTTTTAAAATACACACACAGTCCTTTCATTTTATAACAGGTGTTCTCTCTGTATGTATACAAAAAAAATTATTCGAAATCAAAAAGAAAAAAGAATATTATCGATTTTTATATTGAATTTTTAGATATGTAGGGCATTACTAAAAGAAAATTAATATTCTTTTTTTCTTAAATCGTGACTTATGAACTTACCATAAAAACTTTATAATAAAAAATAATATAATAATAATTATGTGCTTTTTAGACATGTTTCTTGAGTTTCTTGTTTTCATTTTTTGCCTTGAAAACTTTCAGAATTCATTTAGAATTTAGAAAATTTGTAATTAAAATGTAATTAATAATTAATCAAAGCATAATTAATTCTAAATCGACTACATAGGAAAAAATTTTTGTTAATTATATGGAAAAAATAAAAAATTGTTAATAATTTAAAATAATAAAAAGTGTTGTCTAAAATCAAAGACAATTTTCATTAAAAACAGAGTCGATTTTTGTACCACATTTTGATATACAAGGATCGATATGCTCCAAATTTTGTTTTAATAATATGTAAAGAAAACATTCAGAGAACGGGATTGTAAATCAAATATAGGACGCATAGCTTTCATTTAAAAGGAGTCAAACATTTAAATTTTGCTGAAATTAAACTATAATAATAGGGAGGAAAATAAAATGCTGCAATTCCAATATTTTATCTTATTATAGCTACTAAGTCGTAATGAAAATATTATTATATTTATAAAAGATCAGGATAGCAAGGATTATATAATTAAAATTTTCTATAAATTTAGTATATAGAGTTAATTACAATAAGGCCAAATTTACAATAAAGCACAATAACAAAACAAATACAACTTGACCACAATAGATTAAAATTATCCTGATAATAAATAAAATTGCATACATTTCGGCGTAATATTTTTTTTAGAAATTTATATTTCAATTCATGTAGCCTAGCTATTATGAATTTATACAATATACTAAACTGATTAATCATTATTATCAAGCTGATACCAGCAGTTTTCAAGAAATAAACAAAAAATATTTTTATTTTTAAATTTAATATTTTAACTAAACAACTTCATTCTAATAACCAAGTTATTACAATTATCTGATACAAAATTTTGTTCCATATTAAATTTTATTTATATAATAGTAGATTAATTATATATGATAACAATCACGTAAATTAGTTTCGTATATACACGCTATTGTTTAATGGGAAAATTGTAAAAACAAAAAAAAAGGAAATCATTATTTTTTCAAGAATAAATAATTAAGGATAAAATAAATATTAAACCTTTGATTTTTATTGTAGAATTCAAATATTACCCATGTATAAATAAAATTCAATTAAAAGTATTATAAAGAAAAATGATTAGAAAACATAACGTATAACAACATGGTTAATAACGTATAACAATACATTGCATATCTTAATTAAATATAATTAAATAATTAAAAATCTTTGTAAATTACTTGTCCAGCCTTATTCAATTTTTATTTTATGAAATTTAAAGTTTTGATTTAGAATATTCCACTGATTTTAAGTAAGTTAACAAAATTCGTAAATCATGATTTTAAAGAAAAAAATGACAAAATAGACGCAAAATTTTTTGGATTAAACTAAATGTTGCTTTTTTACATTTCAAAACCCATAATTTCAGAATCGGAACTTTCACCTATAATTTAAGAATCGGAATTAAATAAGAAAAATGAATCAAAACTTTGACAGCTCCTCCAAGTAGGTTATTAAGGAGAATTTCGAACTTGAGATTAGCACTAAAATTTTAGCTGATTTTGGTTTGTAACCATCGAATTTCTGTTTTTCTTTTTTACAAATTAATTAGCAAAACAAAAATTGTATTTAAGATTTGTAATTGTCTGTATATCGTAGAATCATTAAATTTTTCTTAAATCATCTATTTATTAATAAAATTTTTATTGCATATAAAATGCCATTATTATTATTTTTTTTTTCTTTCCTAATAAAAAATCGCTGTTTTCTTGTCCTTATGACAAAAAATAAAAAATGACAAAAGAGAAAAAACAAACATGCTTTCTTTCTCTTTTCTTCTTTTACTTCTGGTTTTGTTATTCATTTTATTTTTCTCAGAAAGTATGACTTTACCGTTATATTTTATATGTCATTTTTATATATATATCAAAATATATAATTAAATACAATATATACAAAAAAAAATATTATTTCATTTAAAAAAAAAAATAAAATATAAAAATAATAATAATAAAAAAATAAAAGAAATTTTTAACCTACATCATTTAAAAAGAAATTCTATATCTAAATTAAGAAAATTACGTGTTATCTAAATGAATTTGTTTTTTTTTTTTTGCTGGCCTCATCATTAAATTTATAAAAAAAAAAATTTCTCTGTGAATTTATATTAAATTAAATAAAATTTTAAAAATTTTCAATAATTGCAAAATTTTATTTTTTATTTTTGTAATTAAATTACAGAAATTTTGCATTAAAATTATTGGAAACTTAATAATTTATTATTTACAATTATACTTTTTAATTACCTTCAGATTTATTGGATTGTTCCTCTTCCATTTTGTTTATATTTTCTTTAATTTTAAATAATTTAATTTTAATTTATGTGTGTTTGTGTGTATATAACAGTATATAGCTGCTTAATGTTAACGATGAAATCTTTTTATAATTAATTTATAAAAAGTAAAAATAACTTTGAATTTAAATTTTTAATAATTAATTTTTAATTAAAAATATTTTAAAATATAAATTAAAAATTTGTTTTTTTTTTTTTTTTTAATTCCACTCAATGTATAACAGATTTTTATTATATTTATTTTTAATTTTTAAATTAATTTTTTTTTTTTTAATTTAAGAACAAGAAAATTAGGTACTGTTATTGTGTTCACTTCCTTTTATTTAATATTCTCTTGTACATAATTTTAAATTATTTAATAATTTAATATTTATTTTCTATTGTTAATTTAATTTCTTTGTTAGTTTTAAAAATAAAAAATCTAAAAAAAAATTTTATATAAAAAAAATTTAATATTTAATAAAATAAATAAAATTGTTTTAATATTGTTTTTATAATTTAATTTTATAATTATATTTAATTAATAAAATTAATTATTTTTTTACAATAACTATAAAAATTCATGAATAAATTTTGTAAAAAAAAAAAACAATTTTTTTTCCTCTTCTTAAATTTTATTGTTTTTAATAATTTAATTTTTTGTTTATCTTTAAATTTCATTTGTAAATATTAATAAAGAAATTTATTATTTTTTTTTTATTAATATTAAAAAAATTTATCTCAAAAAGTTAAAAGTTAAAATTTTTGTCAAAAATATTTTTATTAATAATTTTTTAGTACAAAAAATTAAAAAAACAAACTTATTAATGCATTTAATTTTTTTTATCAAAATAACTGTAAAATAATTAATAATAAAAATAATAATAATAATTAAAAAAAAAAACCAATAACAATTAATATTAATTTTTAATTTTTTTTAATATTATTAAAATTTTTATTATTTATTTTAATTATTATTTAATATATTAATGTTTACTAAAAGTTCTAAAATGCTCATATTTTAATCTTTTCTTTCTCTCTTCAATAATATTTATGTATATATATATATATACTAAAATATTTATACCTATATTTTATCTTTAATATTTATTTACCAAAATTAGCACTTGATTTTTTTTTTTTTTTGTAATTTTTTTGCTTTTTTTATTTTTGGAGGAGTCTAACCGGAATCTTTATATTTCGTTCTATTACTGATGTTGATTATCTTCTTCTCTATACATTATTGTTATGATGGGGATCTTTAAAAGATCATTTCAGCACTAACTAAGCAAAAATGAAATTAAAAACATATATTTAAAAAAAAAAATAACAAAAACAATAACAAAAAAAAATGAAAAACATTATCAAAATAAGCAAAGCAAAGAAAATACGATTTTGGTTTGGGTAACAAACAAAAACACAAAAAAAAGCAAATATATAATTGTATATACATAAGTATATAATGTATATGTATATAATATATAATAAAGAAAACAGACTATATCTAATGTATATATATCAACAAGTATCTTATATTTTATTTTATATATATTATGCTATATAGCTCTAGCTATATAAATAGCTTTTTACTATGTATGTATGTACTAAAAATGTACAAAATTGAATTTTTAGTGATGATGTTTTCTTCTAAATTTTATAAATTGTAAATATATGCATGTATTTATTTATTTATGTATGTATATATATGTATGTGTATATGCACGCGTATACATAATATAAAATTTGATTTTTTTTTTTTAATGTATTGCATTGTGCAATGCAGGGTGATTCAGCAATAAATGGTTTAGAATATAAGCACCACCCTTTACAAAATCACAAGTACTGATTTGCCTATGTAATAGGAAAAAAAATTATTTTAGAAAAATTTTCAAAGTTTCAAAAAATTTCATTAGAAATTATCGACATAAAGAAAACTAAAAAAATTGAAAAAAATGTGAGTTTTTCTAAAATTAGAATGCTTTGTATTCCTAAAGCTAATAAAATAAAAATTTAAGTAAAATATTTAGTACAATCGCTTCATTATCCTCTTCAAAAACTGTATTGTTTGAATCTTCTATCTTTTTCGAAATGGAAGTTATATGCGAAAAACTTTACCAGTAGAAATTTCGTGAAAATTTCTTAAAATCACTACCGTTCGGAAGCTGGCACATTTTGAAGCATTGATTTCTTAATCACTCTGTATAAAAAATAATATTAAATGTTATTATGCAAAATTTATATCTGTGGTAATGAATAAAAGCTGTTTTAGCTAAATTAAGTATATAAAATTGAGGTATTAAAATATTAGAATTCGTATTTCAGAAAAATTTGACTAAATTCGAATAATTCTAAAATAGCAAAATGAAAATGAGATGCATCCGAAAAAATTTGACCAAATTATTTCTTCGTAAATGATGCAAATCAGATCAGATTTCGAAAAGCTGAATTTTAATTCTATAAGAGTGTCCAAAACCCGATGTTTACAATTTTTCAGTAGGCGATCTGAAAATTTTTAAAAAGATTCTGCAGTATGCTTAGTACTTTTTCATTTTGTTATACATTTATCAACAAGAAAGTTTCAAAAATCAATTATTTTCTAGATTTTTACCTGAATTTGACTAAAATTAGGGTTTTTACGGATATTTTTTAACTTGCTTTGTTCGAAATTATACTAAATTTGACATAGATGGTTTTGTCTAATTTCCACAGTAGACGAATGTCCATATTTCCTATTGTATATATCATATACAATATCTATATATATATTTATAAATATCATTAAGCGTGTAAGCTGACAAAATTCTTATTGTTCTAAGAAATTGTATTGTAAAATTTTTGTATATATATATGTATGTACCTTTATGTAGTAAATGCATATTAGTTTGTTTTCTATTGTATAACATTATAAAAATTGTTGTTTTTTTTTCATTTTTCTAATATACTGGAATATTACATGCATACATACGTGCATTTCTAAAATAATATTACAATTTAGTTAGCTATAGATTTACGTATATATATGTATAACAGTTTTGTTAATAAGGTAAGAAAAGATGCAAATTAAGAGAAGAAAAAATTGTTTTTTTATTTTTTACTTTTTCTACTTTTGTTAATTTGTTCATATCGTATTTTTATTTTTAAAGGAAATTTTTATTGTTTAAAAAAAAATAAAATTTTTTTTTTTACTTACACTTAGAGAAAGGAAAATGAAAGTCAAAATAATGAGAAAAAATGAAATTTTCGTTTGTTTCTGTTTTTTTTTTATTTTATATTGATTTTATAAAAATAGTTTTCTAATATTGTATAACATACTTATAAATATATACTCAAAATACTAATTTTATGCACACATACATTAAAATGTCTACTGTTATATTATGTTGACAAATGTACTCAAATTTGTATAATAGATGAACGCTTACTATTGCAAAGTCTCTAATATAAGTGAGAAATTTCAATTGTAAATGATAAAATAGAAATAAGAAATAGGAAATAATAGCGGTACAAAATAATGATGATGATTGATTCACTATATTTAAAAATTAAAGCATAGTTGCTGTTGGAATTTTAAGTTTTTAACACTTTTAAGGTACACTCTTGTAAATAAGAATTTTTTTGCTATATTGTTGATACTTTTATAGTTATACAATTTAAATTTATCCATTTTAAATTAATTTTTTACATTTTGAGTATTTTTATTAATAACGTTGCAAAATTAATGGTAAAAAAATTTTTTTAAAAGTGAAAATAAATTGGAATTCTTCTTAGTAAACTATTCAGACTACAGGAGAACAACTTGTTACACTCTTCGAATAACATGTTATTGAAAACTGGATTCACACTACATAAACTGTTTTTATTTGACGGTAAAACTGTGTTGGTTAACATTTGTAGTTAAAATTTATACATTCATGCTTAAACATTATGCATTCGAGAAAAATATGTATCGAATTTTTAATGTCAATAATTATTGTACCCGTTACGCTACTTGACAAAAAACAAATAAAATTAGAAATTTAAATTGCATACTTTAAGGGATTTTTCAGCTATTTACCTTATATCCGATATATTCGTATGTGTATAAGTAGCTTAGCAAAATTTTGTCAAACTATTGTTTTTAAATGTCAAAGATTCCAACTTGTAATTTTGTTATGATTCCCAGTTATCATAAGTTTCATTGTAAACACGAACCCAATTTTTATGCAATATTTCTGCTCTTTAACAGTGAAGTACATGTAACAATATTTTGCTCTGTTAATAATTAAAAATTACATGTTATTGTAATGTCAAATTTTATAATGCAGATCATATTTTAATTATATTTAAATTAATATTTAAATTAGATCTGAAATTATAAGATTTTTAATATTTATTAAAAATTAAAATATTATTTTAAATACTCGTACTGAATAAAAATTGTACACAATTATTAACAAAACTTTTGAAATACTTGCAAATATCATTGAATTTTAAATTAATTGTTATTTTTTTTTCAATTTTGTTTAATCGCATCATAAAAGCTATACAATTCTTAAAAGAAAAAATTCATTATTATTTTAAAGTATAAAAAATAATTTTATAATATTTGCATAACAAAATTTTTTCTCTGTGTAATTTATTCATCCCTATATAAATATGCATATAAAAAAGTTTTTTTTTTTGTTTTTTAATTTTATGTGATAAAAATGACAATAAAGTTGAGCTTTTTTTCTCTCCCATTACTTTGATAAATTCGTGTATTCCTCTATATGTGTGTATGCACGTATGTACATGCAAAGTAAGAATATATGTAATTATAATCAAGTGCTAATTTGAAATACGAAGAAAAAGAAATAAAATTAAAAACTCGTATAAAATTTGAAAAAAAAAAAACAAGAGAAAACACAATAAAAGAATAAAATTTTTCTAAATATAAAAGGAGAAAAGCAAAAAAATTCCCATATTTCCTAAATCCTATGTGATGACAACTTTTTTATTTTATCTTTACTCTATGTCGTTTATAATTTTGGAAATCACATCACTAGAGTACATACGGAATCTAATTGAAACCGCTTAATATTAAAATACACCGTTGTTAGCGCTCTTTAGCACAACAAAAAGTAAGAATAAAATCAAAGCAAAAACTTCAAAGAATTTGTTTTTATTTTTTAATTTTTTTACTTTTTTGTACATTTTTACTATAAACTATATTTGTATATAGATAGCGCGGCGTATTTTTATAAAAAAATAACAAAAAAAAACAACACATTAAAAATTAAAAATACATCCGATTACGTCCGGTCGCGCGGCATGGCGTTATCTGATTAGGCAAAATGCAATTCAATAAAAAAAATTCAATTTTTTTTTTTGTTGTCGGTTTTTTAAAGATGCATTTTGATTTTTTTTCTTAATTTTAATTTTCATTTAATTTTTAAAGATTTAAATGATTTTGTATTGTAGTTGATGAGTTCATTCGTTTAAAAAAAAAAATTATCTTAATTTAAAAGTGCTTGAATGTATGTACGATAAGAATGAAAAGATGCTAAGCAATTTTTATAAGTGAATATGAAAATTCAGAAAAAATAAAAGTAATTAAGGTGAATAAAATTAGTTTTTTTTTTTTAATTAAATTGTATTATTTATAAATTTTTTATTGTAGTAATTAAATAATTTGATTAGATTAAGAGTTTTAGGTTTTAAAATTGTATTTTGTTATACTATAGATAATTTTAGGGATTTTTTATATTTAAATGCAAGAGAACTGTTCTTAAATACGTTCAACTGTATAACTCTGCTTAAGTATAGTTTGGATGCCCATCTTACTGATAGATAAAGTGATTTTAATAAAAAAGTCTGATATTGAACAAATTATAGAGCTTAGAATATATGGGGTTGTAAAAATAATTCTATTCGAAAATCGCTTGTACAGTTGATTCGCTCTTGTTCATTAATTAATTAACTACAGATAATTAAAAATGTTTGCTAATTTCCGATTTAAAAGCATAAGATGTTTTGTAGAATTAATAGAGGAAGGGATGATAGGGTAGTGAAATATAAACAAGTAAAAACGTTGCAGTCTGTATAACCCGATTGCATAATACACTGTACCTTTCATTGTTGTAAAGCAACTACTCGAATCTGTTAAGATTCTATAGAAACTTCACGAATATGTCAGACTTATAATTGGACACACGACTGCCAAGTTTCATGAACCTAGCTTTACTGTTTTTCCAAATATATAAAATTTGCTTTTGGGATTGTATGGCAGCTACCCGAACCCATTGTCCGAATTGGTCCAATTACAATAGGGTCCGTTCTTGGTACAAAAGAAACTACTTGTGATATTATTTTCCATAATTGTTATTGTGTTATCGTGCAATCGGACAGACGGGCGGACGGGCGAACCTGTCTTAATCAACGCAGAATTTTACGCTGAATTAGAATAGACATATATACATGTCCATAATGCATATTACTCATTCAAGCTGTTACAAAACCTAAGGTGCAGGGTATAAAAAAACAAAACATTGTAGTAAAATAATGCAAAGATAAGCAGATCTAGAAATAATTTTAGATTTTGAAATTCTTATATTATGTAGTTAGTACACCTGTTTAAGAATAATATATAAAACTGAAATAATTTTTGGTTAAAACTATACAGGTTTGAGCTCCTTTTTAATCAGATATGAAAGTTAATTAAGCTTTTGTGTGGAAACATCTTAAATAACAGTAATTTGATACTTAAATCCTATAGTAACTTAATTACATTATAAAATTTATTGTTAACCAGCTGTTAAACTTGGCTATTAACTAACTGAAGTATAAAGTGCATTTAAATTTTAAATTTATTGCATACTTTTAGGAGATCAAAAGTTTGATTTCTTTTAAAGCTGAAATTATTAAGAGTTTTTAAAAAATTTATTTCTTAAACCCTATAAAGATTTATATATAATTCATTACATATGTGTATGTGTATATATATATAAATATGCTTTTTAATATTTCACAATTGAATTTAATGTTTCTGTTTCTCAATTCTGTTTGAGGAATTTGCATTTTCCGAAATTTAATTCGGAAAAAAATTAAAAAATAAATTAAATGCTAAATTAAGAACAAATTGATTTTTTTTTTCAATTTCTTAATATTTTTTTTTTGTTATACACTCATATACTGTATTTATGTTTACATATATTTTTTTTCTAAACATACATACAAAATGCATTTGGTCACACCAAATCAAATGTGAAAGCATTCAAGTATATAAAATAAGAAAATTGCAACTTTGGTCGTTGATTTTGAAATTTAAATATAGAAAAAAATTTCACATACATACACTTACATACAAAAGCAAAAACATACATACATATTAATTACGTTATTCAAAAATAAAATGAAATTTTTTGTATTTTTCTTTTTAAAAATTGAAATCTTTGTGTGGCTATTGACTTCTCTCCTCAGTGGCTATTTTAAATATGTAAAATGCACAAAAATATAAATTTTAAATAAATGATGATAAAATAATTTTTAATCTTTTAAAATCTTGTAAAAATTTTTTATTTATTTTTATGCAAAGGTGTTGTTTGTGTGTGTGCAGACGAATGGAAATAGCAATTCATATTTCCCAATTTTTATTATGAAAACAAAAAATGTACAATTATGTTTGATGGGATCTACATACATGTACGTACGTATAGGTTGAATATTTTCATATACCATATATGTAGATCAATTTGAAGTAGAATGAAATCAATAATAATATTTTCAATGTTATATAATTATGATTTTATATATAAAGAATAATAAATGTGACATGAAATTATTTCAGTTTTTGTTTAATGTTCTTATTCTCATATTATCGATTAATTTTTCACTGTTAATAAAAATCAAGAAATGAATGTTAAAGAAAAATCACTAACAAATAAAAAAAAAGGACTCACATATTAATGAAAAATCTGATGTGATCAGAACATAGTTGACGACAAATTTAATCAAACCAAAAATTTTCTATATTTTCTATATTTAGTAAAAAATCCGTTAGTATGTCAGCTGGCCGTAAAAGTTTGATTTCCGAGCCTCCACAATATTCCAAAAACAACTTTCTAATTCATTGTTTTAATAACTTGAGCTGAAATACTAGATTTCGTAGAAATCTGTTGATAATCAAAAATTATAAATAAAGGCCGTAATGAAAATAGGTGACACTTGATTTTCCCGAAAATGTGCATATTAATGTTGTTCAGCGAAGTTTATATATACATAAAATTTCAAGAAAATCTGTTGAATATTTTTGTAAAAGTTATCAAACCATACATCAAATTGGGTGGTATAGTAAAACCCAATTCAAGAGACCTAAGATACCTCTCAAAAGTAGATGAATTTCTGAACAAGGCTAAAATATATTCGGATATAAATTTTCTTAAAAACAGTTTTCGGCGTACAGGCAGACAAACCGATCAAAATTTCGTTAAAATAATTTATTTACGTTTCTCTATCACGAAGAAATGCATTGTTGTTGAAAACTTGACATATGACATTTGGTATGATCACATTACTTTCCTTGTCGCATGTAATGCCAATTGTAAAAAATAAAAAAAACCTTCAGAGTTTATAAACATATTATTATTCTATTCTTACGTACATACATAAGTAAATATTCATGTATGTATTTAATTTGATGTCTACATTATTATTAATAAAAAGGATTAAATTTTTATTGATTTCATATAATATTTTGGAGGGCATTTTTTTTTTTTGTTATATGACTTTATGTAATTACGAGTATGAGATTATTATAAAAGTGTATTATTAGTTTTTGTACGTATAAGAAATTAAATTCAATATTGGAAAAAATTATTTTACTACGCATAAAATCATTTATTTGTTATACAAAAATAATAATTATTGTAGAACACTATAACAGTTTTCATATTGTTTAAGTGTAGAGTTAATAATGACTTTTATAATATATATAGAAATAAATTATGTAGATTAGAGTGGAATGTATTTTAATATGGGAAATAAACATTTAACTTCACCTCAATAGTTTGAATGCCAAATGTACATAGCTAGTTTGAAATTAAAAAATATGATGTAAAAAGTAAATTAGCCACCACTCTTCAAGTAACGTACCTTCAAAATGGTAAATTTAATTGTTATAGTTGGGGTCAGCTTTCGAAAGTTTAATTTTTCTGAAAAATTTGTTAAGTAGTATTGTTTTTAAACAAAGTTATTTAATTCTTATATTGCTAAAAGTGAAAGTATTTTATAGTAAAAAATTAAACCAATATTAAAATAACAAAAAAGACTCACATTAACAAAATTCAAACCTTCCTGAATAAAGTTCTACGGGGCATGGTAAATGCGCCATGGTATACGCGTAACAGTAACATTCACAGGAACTTAGAAACACCTTTCGTTGTAGAAGAAATTAGGAGTTATGCTACAAAGCATATGGTTCTTCCAGAATAGCATGTAAACATAGAAGCAGCTCGGGTACTAGACAATAGCTTTATGACAGAAAGACTTAAAGGAACAAGACCTTTCGATTTAACACAAAATACTAATTTCCTTATGGAAGGTATTTAATTCCTGTACGGAAAGACCAAGTTAGCGCGGAAGTAATAGTTGGTCTTTAGGGCCAATTTTATCCTTTCAGAGTTTAGGTGATTTTTTAGGGTAGGGGTCACGCCCTCTCCCTCACTGCCGGAGGGAAAATGCAGGTAGCGTCGCCCCTCTTCATCTTTCGGGATTTTTTCGCTTAGTAGAAAAAACACAAGAGAAGTAGTAAAAAAGTAGATTGATGCAAATTTTGTAAACACATACATTTTTTGAATTCTGGAAAATTTTTGGATTATCCCAATAATTAGGGAAATTATGTTAAAATATATTTTTGCCTAATAAGTGTAATTTTGCTCCGTCCTAATCTTTACAATTTAAACTAAATTTATACATGTACGAATACATAATATATATATTCTCTAACTTAATACTATCTAGTATCATAATACGTAGTATACATATAACTAAATCGTAAATAAATTGTGGATCTAGTTAGTACAAGTTAATTAAATTATAATGCACAGCTTATCCATTTAATGTTAATGCAAGTAAGTAATTAGTAACTATAATATAAATTAAATGTTTTATTACTGCCACCCAAAATTATTGAGATCTTAAAAATCTATTAAAATCTTACAATTGATAATTACCTAATAATGTATTTATTTAATATATTTATTTTTTAATTCCTAACATTGAAAGAGTCTGTCGAAATTAAGAAATTAATTAAGTAAATAAGTGCAAGTTTTGACTATATCCTGCTTTTCTCTTACTCAAAAAATGAAAAGCAAAAAAGTTAAAAAAAAATAATTTAATAATATTCACACATATTTATTTATACAAAATTTTTATTTCCAGGATTATAAAAAATTTTCACAGCTTAGGTGGTCAGAGCTTAGATACCAAAATGAAAATCTCCAATACCGACTTGAATAAAATTTGCTGGTGGTGCTGGTGGTGGTGGTTCTGGGACTGGTGGACGTGATACAGCCGGTGATGATGGTGGTAATGATGCTGGTCCACCATTTGCTGATGAATCTTGATTTAATGAAGGTGCTAAAGCACCTAAATCAACTTGCAATGAAAATATATTACCTGCTTCAGGTTTAGCTAATGCTATACAAACCTAAAAATAAATATTGCCTTTTTCTAGATATTATGTGTATAATTAAGTATAATAATATTATAACAGGAATTACAAAAATGTAAACATCGATATCGACTATAAGATAATCATAGGTTTTCTCCACCCGAGCTCGTTATCTATTACAGTATTTTGATTAGAATCGACGTAGAAACTAATATTTCTTTAAATATTATTATTTATACAATAGACTAATCATATTCAGTGTCCCAATATTCCAGCAATATGCTTAAAATTTTAATAATTACAAATTTATTGTTTGGAAAAATTTCAATTCATTATGTAAAATTAGTTGAACAATTGTAAATCGTGTTATCCAACTTAATTATACTCAATTTACAAGTATATGCCTTATATTGAATATGATCGGCGAAAAAATAGTAAAAATTTTAATACGCCTAATGAAATGTAGGAAACGAAACAAATTCTTCAACCACGTAGCTAGTTTTCGAGAATTTATATTCTCCTGGAGATGCAATATTAAGAATTAAAAATACACAATATATATATTACACAGAAGTAAAATAATTATGAACTTAATGAATATCCAAAAACCTCAACCGCATCTACTTGTAAAATACACCGAAAAATAAATATTTGTAATCCATTGTAAATCCATTGAGAAAGATTGTTTAAAAAAATTCTTTAAATCAATTTAGAACGATTTAAATTTTATACACACATGACAGTCTTAACATAATCTGTAAATTCCTCTAAATGACAACCACAACTTACAGAAGCCAACAGAATTGTAAAAAAATAAAGATATTTCATTTTATTACTAGCGTATCGTAGCTGTACGATATTTTTTATTCCAACTTAGCTGTCCTACTATAGATTGATAAAAAAACACTAAACACGTAACAAATTTTTTTCAGAATTTATATTAGAATTATTAAATTTTTATAAAAATAAAAATTCAATATGTTAAATGAAGAATTAAGTACGTACGTCAGATTTAAACAGTTTTATTTACTTGACACTATAAAACCTTATCAAAATATTTATTCATTTATTAATTTGTTTGATCTTCATTTTTGTATAAAAATCCACATATTAAAACTGTTTCATCATTAAAAATAAAGTGTTATTTGAGTTAACGGAAAAATTGTATATGCGGCTTACACAAGTTTCCTTTTTTTTTGTGACTTTAATTTCACACTGATTTTAAATATTATTTAAATTCGAGTTGAATCAAAAGTTTTGTAAAGTAGAACATTTCCAAAGTTGAAATTTTTTTTAAAAACAATGTGTCATTTTATTACAGAAAAAACACTTTCAACGCATAAGACTTCAAACTACATTAGCCCCAATATAGAGGGTCTAAAAATTGACGACAATATAGCGTTGCATTTACAAATAATTCCCAAATTATCCGGATTAGTTTGAAGTGTAGAATGCTCCTATAGAATTTTTTTCTTCAAACACTTATTTTGTTCCAGTAAATGGACAAAATTATAAAGGGCTTACTATATTTTTCTCTTTTACTTAAAATATTTAATCATATTCTCGAATTATTGAAGGTATTTACCGTTAGTTATTTCATTTTGTCATAATTTGTTAGATTTTATGGCGAATTACGATAAAATTGCTATGCAATTTTTTGTAAAGCAGAAAACTAAAATTTAGAAGCTTTCTATTCTAAAAGGTTGAAAAAGTTTTTTTAAATAGAACCAAGTACGAACGGACAGGGGGAAACTAATAAGCACCTTTTTTTATAATTTTGTTCGAAATATGCTAAAAATGATTAATTCTGGTTTTAAACGTTTAATGTAAGCAGCTGACTTCTTCAAAAAAAGTGTATTTATGTATTCTTTTGTATTTTGTGCGATATAAGTAAAATATTTTGTAATTTTATTTGATAATTACGAAACACTGTGAGAAGACAACAAGAACAAAAGTAGTTTTTTTAAAATATTAAGCATTAAACATTAAATATTATACATGCTTTGATCTACTCAAATAAAGGGTAAACAATATTATACATTTGGGGTTTAACTAATTTTATTGTTTTACAATAAACACTTGTTTAAAATTTTAACTAAAAATAACATAATTTTAATGTGTATATCGTAAGTACTCACAATTTTTATTGCTTGTTCAATACTTAATCAATTACAATGTGTAGAAAATTAAAACGTATAGAAAAACTAAAAGAGTTTGACACTTTGAACCGAGTATTTCAATTTGCAATTATTAGATTTAGAACATAAATTGTAGATTAATAATTTTTAGTATTGAACGAGAAAAAATAGAGTTGACTTTGTCAACTCTGTGATACCCGTACGAATTTGTTATCGAATATGCGAGTAAATATGCCATAACTGACTATGGGACAGACTATGACTTTAAGTTGCCGTATTACCATATTAATTTATGCAAAATTTCAGCACTGTGTTTTTCAAAATACTGTGTGTGCCAAACTACTATTGAATTTGTATGGCAGCTACCAGAAAGAGCCAAGAAATTTTAACGAATTTTATCAAACACATCGGCCCTACTAATATATTTCTTTGTGTAAAATTTCAATACCACTGCTTTTATAGTTTCTCAGATATAGCCAAATAAATTTTAAACTTGTATGGCAGCTACCCGAACCGGTACCCCGATCATGTCCAATTTAAGTAGGGTTCTGGCACTTACTACAATAAATCATTTGTGAAAATTTGGTGAACTTAGCTCAATTAGTTTTTGAGTTATCGTTGGGACGGACGGACAGACAAATCTAAATCAAGTCAGAATTTCACGCTGATTAAAAACATGCACTTGAGTCTATATCTCGGACCGTTATTTCTTAGCGTTACAAACGGTAAGGCAAATTTAGTATACCCTTTGAACATACGTTCGTACGGGTATAAAAAGAGTGTATCGTTTTTTATAATTATTTGAATTTTTTGCACATTACATTTCCGAAACTGCAAATTTTTCCAAATTTCTGTAATTGCAGAAAGCTGACGGAAAGTGTCATACCATTAAAAAATTTTAATTATTTTTCTTAACTCACGTAATTATAATGCCTCTTTCAATTTCTTTGTTAGTGTCATCCTAATTGTATGCAATTTTTGAAAAATTTTCGTATTTAATAAAAGTAATTTTCGTATGTAATTTTAAAAACAGTATTTTCATTTGTTTGAGGGAAAACTGCTACATTACAGACCATTAGTTTGACCCAATTTTATTTAAGTTTCAGAAGTATTGTACTCTTGTTAGGTAAGTTAATAAAAGGTTTATCAAATTTATTGTAAAAGTTTAAATTAGAAATCAATTCATACAGTATAAATTATTCATAAAAATAGCAAATCGATTTTAAATTTTTATAACATTTAATTTTGAATGAAATTTGAACTTTTCTGAAAATTTTTCCTTTTTTTTTTGCATGCATTCATATAAGAATTATTAAAGTTTTGATTTTTTCGAATTTTTATAGCTGAACTTTCACAACACAAAAAAATACGAAACAAATTTAATTAGTTCAATTTTAAATATAAAAAGTTTTAACCCCAACCGATCGTTAGTGTTTCCGAACATGTACGTCTATATTTTATGTGTGTAGGCAGTCAGGTACAAAATATACAGGAAGATACAAGTTAAAAATGTGGGTAAGTGTAGGTATTTTTTCTTTTTTAAGTTTCTAAATTGTTTTAATGTAAATATTTTTTTAAGCATTCAGTATGTATGTGTTATGTATGTATGCACATCATATTATATGACCTTTTTCATCATTACCTTTAATAAAGTGAATTTGTGAGCAATTTTTTTTCTTGTGCGTAGCCCTGAAGGTTTTCATTTTAAAAATAAAATTATAAACTTTTTTTTTTCAGTCAGAGAACTTTAATTTCATTATATTTACTGTGTTATTATTATAAATTTTTAAGTAAAAATGTGTGTGTACGTATCTCTAGGACTTATTCATTTCAGAACACCTTAATGAAATACATATGCCTTGTAATATTTCAGAACTCTGAAGTGCCCACAATAAAGTGGTTAACAATTAATGTTATACAAATATGAAGGTCTACTATAAATTAAAAGGTCAAACGTGTGAATTGTAAGTGATAATCAAATAATATTGGGATAAGTTAAAACATTTCTAAAAAATTTTCATATCTAAGACCAAAAATTCATATAAAATTATTATTTTTATAAATTTCTTTTAAATTATACTTAATTGACACAAAATGTGCACATAGTAACACAATTTTTAATTTATTTAGATGCATTATAGAATAAACCTGCCCAGAGTCTGGATTATAATTTTCAAATATCAAAAATTTATCGTTCGAGATTTTTATTTAAAAAACTAAGTTAATAATAAAGTCATGTCATAATTTTCACAACAGACACAAGAACGAAGGACTATTGACGGAGTGCAATGTTTTAGAAAATGGAAATGGGAATGGAAATATCTTTTGTTTTGGAAAAGTTCTGTAAACAATCATACAATGCCAACATATTTTATACAAATAATTTTTCAATATGGTATCTAAATATTGTAAAATTGCATCGCAATAGGCGCATTAATTTTTCAATTAGAAATAACTAAATTTTTTTAAATTAACCTTCTGAAATTATAATTTTCGATTGATAAAATTCAAAAAGTATAATATATAACTGACATATGTATGTTACATGTGTGGAATTACTTTTCTTATTTAAATCTATATACATATATAAAATCTCATAAAGAATAGTATATATGTGTGTTGATATATATGAGTGTGCATATACGATCTTTGTAAAAATTTTATACTTTCATGTACAGCTAAATATACACCTATTTACAAAACAAAAACTAAAAATCCTCATCCCATTATCAACTTCTTTAACTTCCCTTATATATACTCGTATAGGTACACTCTATTTAACAATTTTTAACTTCCTTCTTTTTTGTTTTTCTTTTTCAAATTTTACTATTGAAAATAAACAATATACTAAAATACAATTTTAATAAAATTTTTACAGTTATTGATTTTGTATATATATATATGTTATAAATGTATATATATTTATATATATATATATATATATTGTTTTGCTCCTACCTTCCGTCTATTATTAGAATTTGGAAAA